ATTCTTAACCAAATTCGACCTATAATATATTAAAATGAAGATAAGAAAGTGTAGAACAAGATTATACCTATTTGGAAGCCCAATGATTGCCAGATATGGCCAAAAAATAGCCTGAAAGGTGATTGGTCCGCAGGAAAACTGGAAAACTCTCCGAAAACTAGGTAAACTTTAAACATTCATAATTTATTCAATACTCAACGAAATCAAGCGATTCAAAAACGAAAATCATACCTTTCGATGAGATGAAGAGAATGGTATATTTCTTTACTACTAACTCGCCATGTTTTGGCCGGAAAAATGCTCGAAAATGGTTAGCTACTTTCGAGCCGTTATTTGACCAAACCACGGCGATTTAGCATTCGAAAAAGGTACCATTCTCTTCGTCTCGTCAACAAGTATTATTTTCGTTTTTGAATCACTCGATTTGGTTAAGTATTGAAGAAGTTGTGAATGTTTAAAATTTACCTAGTTTCCGGCGAGTTTTCCCTCGGACCAGTCACCTTTCAGCCTATTTTCCGGCCATCTCTGGCAATCATTGGGCTTCCAAATGGTATAATCTTATTCTACACTTTCCTATCTTCATTTTGATATATTATGGGTTGAATTTGGTTAAGAAACAATTGAGTTACAAAGCTTTGAAAATTGTCCAAAATCGTTTTTAACGGAATGACCAAAATCAGGGACCATTTCTATTGATTTTCAATCTCAGGAACCATTTCTATTGATCATGCAAATCTCAGAGAACATTTTGTATAATAACCCTATTTATATTTGAGAAGAGTTGGAGTTTTATTTGGTAAGTTATTTCATGTGCGTCAATTAATAGGATGACTGGTTTTAATTACTAAGGCAATAAGTGATTTTTGTAAGGAAGTAATTCTATGAGCTAAAGTATTCTAGTTATAAGTTCGTTAGGGTTTCTTAAATCCGTTAGTGGGTAGGATTCTAGAAGCATTGAGCATTACAATCACAACCCTATATAGAACTTCACATTAGTACGTGAATAAGGAGCAGTAGTGCATAGATAAGCATGAAACATATTAAAGCTTACAGTATGATACCATGCAACACGTGCATGATGAAGATGATCGAACTTGCACATAACGAAGTGTATATCATTTTTTTTGTCTATATCTTTTTTCTCGTATGATAAGATTTGATAGGTTGTGTACTTTTTTTCTCCACATGGCGACACATCTCAAACACAATTAAGTTTATATAAGGTTTACTTAAGTATCTTAAATCCAACATTAAGTTCAACAATATTAATTGGAAGTGAGAATAGTGATGGCCATTACAAAATTCCATGTGTTACGACGTGTAAAGACAAATCAAAGTTTCATCATTTGATTGTCAATCTCATTTTACTTTAATTTCCACTGCAAATTAGCACTAAATCTTTTTCTTGTCAATTCACACGCTATGCTATACTAAAGGCATCATACACTATAGGAACATCATAATTAGGTCCACTTAAATTTTCATTACGATCATATAAAAAATTTCAGAGGCAAAGATGTTAGGAAATTAATCATACGCATATATATACCATCTCTTCCAATAAAGTTTTTTTTATCTTAAAAATAAAACGGGACTCGTGACACTCCTCCAATAGCTCGATCATTCAATTTCTCATCAATCCTTAAGAGAATAAGGTATCTCCTTTGTTTTTTGGTCTATGGAGGCCTCTATTATTTAGCATGCGTGTTCTAAAGATAATTTAATATAAAGTAGCATATAGTTACATTAAGGTGAAGTGATATGTATATATATACATATATATATATATATATATATATGTTTATGGGAAATATATAATGAGAATCCAAGCCGTCCAAATCATGATTTGCTCCCAAATTGCATCACCTTTATTCCAAACTAAAGCGATTAAAATGTTTGCTTTAAGCATGCACCCCAGAACTGAGAAATGAAAATATAAGTGAACGATAAGCATCTTACGTTCTTATGAATAGTTAATTAACTACTTCTCAAAGGCAGGCTAAGAACTGTGAAGATATGAAAAAAATGTCCTACATCGAAAGTTTACCTTAACGGTGTGTGTGGCTCCATAAATAAGATTAGGTTAAGAGTTGAAAACCCAGGTAAGAGTTAACACTTAACACTTCCCTAGCTAATACTATAAATAGCAACAAATTATCAATTCACAAATAAAGCCTTACCTTTCACTTTAATTTATTCATAAAGTAATTGTTGGTGGTGTGATCGTAATCTTTGTTCGAGTGTGCTGACAAAGATCGATCTCAACTCATCTTATCTACCCCATCGGTTAGATCGGTGCATGTTATCTTTTTGGAGGAATCTGAACTGAAGTGTACGCACTTCACCTATTTTGCACAAGATATGATTTAAAACAATTGATCAAATATATGTCAATTTCCACGCTTACAATCGCACTCTTGGAAGATATAATATAAGTCCACCACTATCCAAAAACTCATATATATTTGGTTAGCTAGGATTCACGGACACACATTATCAATACATATTTTGACACATATTTTTTAGGTTTGCTTTGTAATGTATTTTAACAAACAAACCGTCTATCTTTATGCCTTACTTCAAAGATCATGTCTACTAAAAATTACCCAAATTTAAAACCATATGTATGTTGGATTAAGTTAAGTGTTTCTTTGTAAAACCAAATTCGTCCATTTTCTTCACAACAAATAAATGTCTTAATAATTTTGGATCTATTAAATTTTTTGCATGATCTATGAATACTATAGTAAAATATAGACAGTATCAACCCTTGATATATGTACATTACGGAATGGACCTTCAAAAAATGTGCTTAAAAAGCGTATGTCCCTGACCGAAACCATATATATGTAGAAATGTTACATTACGTATATAATATATTGAAGACAATGCTTTTTTTGCCAATATTTTTAAGACGATGCTCCACAAGTAGCAAAATGTAGTGGGTAATTTGATGTATTTTATCAAATATGAAGACGGCACATAATAAACATATAAGTTAGTAATGATTACTCGAGGCCACTAGGGCACTACTAGGTTGCAAAGTAATCTTTATAGACCCACATGAAAACAAATCTAGGATCCAAACGTGACACTTTAAAAGCATGCACACACATTGTATATATTGTCCATTTAAGTCCAAGTTTTATAGTTGTTATTTGCTTTCTTTTGTTATTTTAATGGTACAAGTACATATTAGAAAAATGTTGAACACAAACTTTATTTCCTTTTACATATCGTTGTTTAATTTTGTCAATTGTTTATGATTTGTCGTTAAAACTAAGGAGGATGTATGAGAGGTTAAAAAATGAGTGCGAAGAACAGCTCCTTAATATGATTATAGGCTTAATGAGTGTTGTTGCACTCCAAAAATGTATTACACACTATTTTTGAAGTGCTAATGTACCACCCTTATAAAATATAGGTAGGGACCAAATTGATGTGTTTGGTCAATTTAAGGACGAAATTGATCAATTTCAAATTGAGAGATCAAAATGATGAGTTAATTAAGTTAGTTTTCGAAACTATTTGAGAGATAAAAACCCTATAATATATGCACATTTTTTCTGACCATCTTCACTTCAATTCTTCTAGCCTTGCACTCCCAAGGATGATAAGTTTGAAGTCATTTTCCCTTTATTATTAGGTTCACTTTTTAAAAAAACGATAGTTGTTTACTTTTAGGTGCACTTCGATTGTTATATAATTAAAGAATTATCACCCAATTATATATAAAGCTTGAATCGTATCCATCCATTAAAAACAGTTACATTTGATAACTTTCAACCTTTTTGGTACAAACCAAAACTTCAAATCCTAATTCAAAATTTTGCATGTATTAGTGGAGGTGGGTGGTAGTAATGAGTGTGCAATGGTTGTGAGGTGACATTGTCACATTGATAATAATTGAGTCGGTGGTGATTACTAAATTGATTTTCGTTACTTTATTTAGGATTACTAATTTACTTTTATTATAACACATGTATCAACTTATTAAAATTATAGCAAAAATTTATACAAGCAATATATTATAAGTTTCCCAGTATTGTGTTATCCACCATTATTATAACATGAATTGTTTAACATCACATTACATCGTAATTGTCACACTAAAAAGTTTCTCATTGTTGTGTTTTCAGTTCACATATTCACATATGAGAAATGCTATCAACCTTTGCATTAACTTTTGTATTTGGACATTTTTACTTCTTCACATAATACATGTCATTCTTTTATACAAAAAAAAAAAAAAAAGAACATTTAATGCCTCTCAAGTTTTTTTTTCTTTAATTTTTTAACATTAATTCCTAACCGAAAGCATTAAAGGCCTTTTAAAAGAAATGATATGTGTGATTTGTAAAAGTGAAAAAATCCAAGGCAAATGCTAAGAAGGTTCTCTCTCAAAAATAGAAATCTTCATGCACTTTTTGACACCTGAGTTTTATGTCAATTCTTGTGCCAACATTACGAAATATTGTGTAAAAAACATGAAATCGTAGAGGGTCCGTGAAGAGCCCCACTTTTGAGACAGTTTTTTAGGATTTCCAAATTCCAAATACTAAGGTTCACACTCCTCTTCTCATAAGTTTTAGTCTAGAGGCCCAAGACCCAGAAAAGTTGGAGGCCCAATAGTAAGTGGTTAGTTGAGGCCTGAGCCCAGTTTTTTGTCAGGCGACATCTCGTATCAAAAAGCTGTTGGATACCAAACGAGGGAGAAATATTTCAGTGTAACCGGCACACAAGGTAGTACATCATGTGTCATTATACAAATAATAAGATATATGTGCTAAAAAATTAATAACTTAAAAAATAAAAATTTTCATCATTTACATAAAAACACGTGATGTACTATTTAATCCCGTCACAATTAAAAATTTCTTCATAGACACAACCGAACACCTTGACTTCGCAAGACCCAAGTCCGCAGATGGTTCAAACCACGCGCCAGTTAAGCGCGTGGAGGACGCGCGATGCGTGCTTTCGAAGGAAGCAAGTCAACGCAGACCGAATGAGTTAACGGTAGCGGACTAAGCAATTCTAGCCTTCTAGGGTTTCCGATTTCCTCCTTTGGTAAGGCACACCGACGCCGCAGTGAGCTGTCCGCCGTCGTCTCAATCTTCCCTCTTTTCGCCGTCACTGTTTCCTCGTTTTCATCAAACCCCCGGGAAACCTAGGAACCTCCTACTGCGAGAGGTACGAGAAGTTTCGAATCCTCGTCTTCGGTTAGTGTTTGATCTTTCAAAATTTCTATTTTTTTTTTTCAATTTGCATTGTTTCTGGATACTGTTTTTCCTGTAAAGATATAATATTTACTGTGATTTAATCACTATTTTGGCTTGAAAATCTTCAATTTTATATCTTTTGTTTTTGGGTGAAACTGTAAATTGAAATTATAACTGGGTTTTGGTTTGAATTTTTGTGCTTAATTGAAAAAATAATTGTAATTAATTTTTAAAATTTTGTAGTTAATTGTAGTTAGGTGGAGATTGCTTAAGTGAATGTTCACCTGGTTTATTTTATAGGTTGATTAATCCGTGTTGTGATTGAGATGCTAAAAACCAATGTTGGTTCATCCGTGTCGTGTTGCGAGTTTAATTTTGGTGTGCTGTGGCGTTATGAATTTATGATTAAAAGGTGACAATGGCTAGAGGGGTGCCCGGGAATCCTGCTGAACCAGGGGTTGCGGAAACTTCAACTGGCGTCTGCATCCCGGAACCAGAGGAACCCCAGTGCTCTATGCGTAAGTGGTATTTTACGAGAGAGGAGATAGAAGATCATTCTCCATCTCGGAGGGATGGCATCAGCCTGAAGAAAGAGTCACAGTTGCGGAGTTCGTATTGCTCGTTTCTTCAAGCGATTGGGATGAAGCTTAAAGTGTAAGTTCAGTTGATTTGTGTATTGATAGTATCTTATGGTTGTCTTACTATACGGCATGTTTTAACTTGTTGAATCCTATAGAATAGTCTTCTGTTCTCTGCATCTCTTTTCGGTTTTTGTACTGGCTATATCTTAGATAACTCTACAAACTGTGCTGTATTCTCTCTTAGCTTGAACATTGTTTTTGCTTACATGCCTATCAGCCTCAAATAACAAGAAAATAAGCTTCCGTAATGTTGAAGGCATGTTCTTTCTATGTCACGGTAATTAATCTGGCTATATATTGAGCTAACTATGAAGTTCTCTATTTGCTTATTGTCTTGAGATAAGTCGGCCCCCTTAAGACTGTTAAGTTCTTCTTTTGTGTCCCATTATCTTCAGCATTCTCCAAACTTTTTAATGTTGCCATAATTGATTGGTTCAAACCTTCAACCTTTTTAGCCATCGTTAAGAAGATATAGATATTTTCTTCTACTCAATACTTCTGTATTTCGTGAGGTTCCACCAAGACCCTTTAAATGCGATTAATAAATTACTTTGGGGGGGAAGATTTTTGCTTTCTATCATCTCCCTTTTCTGTTCATATCCTGCATCTTATTAATCATTTATTGCAATTCCACAGAAGATAATAATCAATAGTAAAAGTGATTACTACTACGTATCGTTCAGGTCTCAGACGACAATAGCATGTGCAATGGTGTTGTGCCACCGGTTTTACATGCGTCAATCTCATGCTAAGAATGATTGGCAGGTAAAAATTATGTCTGTGAATGATGTTTAATGAAATTTAGTAAGATATTGATGCAGGAGCATCTACAAGTGTCTTCAAGATTAATTGGCCCTCTAGCCAGGCTAGGGGTCTAATTAGTTTTGGATTTAGTTACTATTCTTGTCTATTTATTTGCCTTGCTAAAGATTTTCTGTTTTATGTTATCTGGACCTTCTGTTTAACAATATGGTTGTATACATTTCACAGACAATTGCAACTTCAAGCTTCTTTCTGGCTTGCAAAGTACGAGAAACGCCACGCTTTTTGAAGGATGTTGTTGTTGTGGCGTTCGAGATGGTGCACAGTTTAGATTCTTCTGCCTTACAAAGTATCAAACAAAGAGTATGTAGACACACCCCTTTTACGGCATTATACATATCCTTGTAATGATGGTTGCTTATCTTCAACCTTCTGCATTTAGGAAGTTTTCAATAAGCAAAGGGAATTGATTGTGGTTGGGGAGAGACTTGTTCTGGCAACAATTGGTTTTGATCTTGACATTCAGCTTGCATACACGTCACTCGTTGCAGCTTTAAAGAGTTTAAATATTCTCCCCGACCTTGCTCAGGTGGCATTGAATTTTGTTAATGACTGGTGAGCATTGTTTAATTCCTTATAGGAGCTTTGTGTGTGTGTTTTAGTGCTGAAGCATAATTGGATATTACGTTTGTTGTTTCCATAATTGGTCTTTTATATGAATGTATCATGTATGTGCAGCCTTCGCACATCACTGTGCTTGCAGTACAAGCCCCATTATATTGCAGCCGGTTCAGTGGCTCTTGCTGCCAAAGTTCAAAAAGTGAAACTACCTACACAACAGGGAAAAGTTTGGTGGCTGGAGTTCGATGTTTCACCAAAGCAATTAAATGGTGCGTTACAAGTCCTTACTTGGTTTTTATCCTTCTATTATATGGATTCATGAATCATGATCTTTGACGTGTGTATTAAATTCATTTGCTGATATCCTCACGTAGTATGCTTTACGTATGGTTCGTATTTTGATTAATGCGTTTTATTGTATTTCATCAACAAGTACACATGGTTGTTGGATATAGTGTTAGATTTCCCTCTCTCTTGGTACTTCCATTCTATTCATACATCAGTACTTGGAATCGTATATGTTTTCCTTTGTTTGAAAATGTCTATAACTTATATGCACTTTCTCAGAGGTCATTCAGCGGATGATGGGGCCAGGCGGAAAAAAAGCTCTACCGCCCGAGAATGGAAGAGTTGTTGCATCTGAAACACTGCCTAGAAAGCCAAGTGGTATTGACGAGGGTGGTGGGGACGAGATTAAATCAACAAAAGAAGAATTGGATGATCAGAACTCAAAATGCAAGATTGCTTCTGCATCTGAAACTCTGCCTAGAAAGCCAAGTGGTATTGACGAGGGTAGTGGGGCCGAGATTAAACCAATAAAAGTGGAATTGGATGATCAGAACTCAAAATGCAGGACTGTTTCTGCTCAGACCAACGGTAGTAAGATTGATGTTGATCGGATTAGAGATGCTATAAAGAGGAGAAGGCGCGATAAAGTTGTAAATAAGAAGTCAGTTCATGCCATAGATGATGAGATAGATCCTGAAGCCTGGATAGTAAGTGAGCTTGAAAATGGAGTAGAGCTACAAAATGCATCCGCAACGAAGAAACAAAGGTTGTGAGTTTTTTTATGCCGTTACAGGCATCTTCCTTTGTGTATCAGAGTGTACTTCTTCGGCTAGAAACTCGATTCTTCTAATTCTGTAAGTAAACTTCTTTTTTTTCGTCGAAAAATTGTGTATGTATTTAAGTAGAGGGTTATTCTAGTAATTAAAATCTTGCAGTATACATCTAAATACAGCAAATTTTCTGCCTCATCTGATGTATGAAATTCAGGTACATTATCTGTCTGATGCTTTAATAATACAGTGGATCTTCTCTCTTGTAAATAACAAAAATAAATAAATGTGAGGGATTAACCAGAAGTTGGGCTTCAAAGGTTTGCTAATTATTGGGCCTTCTGCAAGAGAAAATAACAGGCTGATCGGTCCTTTAAAGTTTGGCCCATTTTAGTTTTGAAACAAAGGTAAAGTGTCGATTTAGTCTCTTAACTATCATGTCAGTGAAAATTAGGTTGTTGAATTATTTTTTTGATAAAATAAGTCCCTACATTCATTAGAAATGCTAATTTCATCCTTAGCATTATATTTAAAGCTATTTTATCCAATTTTTTGTCAACTTAAGTCACTTGACATATTTTAGAATGTAATATCGTCATTTTCTCACATATAAACCCTTAACATTTCATATAGGTTGCAAATCTAATGTCTAATCTATCCTCCAAAGTTAACTCTATACACTATTTCTTTGTAGAAATTTATCTATATACCATCTAATGTGTATCGCATGCAAGTAACGTAACTTAAATTGGCGAAAAATTGAATATGGTAGCTTCAAATCTAATATTAGGGATGTAATTGGTAGATTTTTATAATCCATTGATAATTCAGGGACTAAATTGACAGTTCATCCTCATTAACACCAAGTCATTTCTCATCAATTTATACTTTTTTTTTTTTTACTTTTTTGAATTAGAGTTACTTCTTTTTTAGGATGCTTAAACAAAATGGTTACTCTTATCACATTTTTCCTACAAAATTTGTACCATTTTCAAATAGAGATAGGACCCACATGTGTTGGTGGGCCCTACCTCTATTAGAGATGTTGTACAAATGTGGTATATAAAATGGAAGAGGATCATCTCCGGATCCACTTTGTGGGGATCCTAGGAATCCCCACATCCTAGTCGTTCATTGTACATTGTGCAATTAGTTTTTTTCAGGTACTATTTGTGTGTAATTTTAAATAAAAGAAAAAGTCAAATGATTTCTGACCACACGATGCACGATTAATGGCTAAAACGTGAGGATCCCTAGGATCCCCACAATTTGGATCCGGATGGGATCCAAATCCATATAAAATGTAGTAGGCGTATCATTACTCATATTTTTTTTTTTTTTTTTTACAAACAATATTATCTACATTAAGAGGAGGGGGTGGCCTCACAATGGGTCAGCAATAATAAGGTTCAAATTCGCATTTGACGAGAATCGAATCTAAGACCTCTCACTTAGAAGAGGATGCGATTGGACCGTGGTACTAAGTGTCGTATCATTACTCATACTTAAAAAATGCAAAAGGCCAACATAGCTAACTACGTGACAATCAAATGAGAGATATTTACTAGTGTGCCTGAAAAACGGGTACATACGCCATGTCATTATATAAGTAGATGGACACTTAAAAAAAAACTTCTCTCCACTTGTGTAATAAAATATGGCGTACCATCTTCGCATTTCGGACACATTGAAAAATCTTTTAGACCATCTCCAACTATTGGGCTAAAAGTCAAATTTTTTAGCTCGGGAATTTTAGCTTTTAGCCCAGAAACAGTTTTTTTGCTCCAACTCTTAGACCATCTCCAACCCTTTGGCTAAAAGCCAAATTTTTTAGCCCGGAAAATTTAGCTTTTAGCACAGAAACACATTTTCTGCTCCAACCCTTCTGGCCTAAAATTTTAGCCTGGGATTATTAAAGAATGAACTTAGGCCAATTTTTTTTTCTTAAATTAACATTTTTTTAAAAGAAAATTATGTAGACTATCGTAAATTAATTTTATGAACATTTTAATCTAAAAATATTTAAATTTGGATAAATATTGAAAAATCACTAAATCTTTCCACAAAGCAAGCCATGTTGAACTGTCACATCCCGGCCTGGGGCGGATCACTTCCCAGGCCCGCTCCACCACCGTAGCACGATATTGTCCGCTTTGGGCTTACCATTCCCTCACGGTTTTGTTTTTGAGAACTCACGAGCAACTTCCCAGTGGGTCACCCATCATGGGATTGCTCTAGCCCCTTTCTCGCTTAACTTCGGAGTTCCTACGGAACCCAAAGCGAGTGAGCTTCCAAAAAGCCTCGTGCTAGGTAGGGATGGGAATATACATATAAGGATCACTCCCCTGGGCGGTGTGGGATGTCACAATCCACCCTCCTTAGGGGTCCGACGTCCTCGTCGGCACACACGCGACCAAGGTTAGGCTCTGATACCAAATTGTCACATCCCGGCTCGAGAAAGATCACTTCCCGGGCCCGCTCCACCACCGTAGCACGATATTGTCCGCTTTGGGCTTACCATTCCCTCACGGTTTTGTTTTTGGGAACTCACGAGCAACTTCCCAGTGGGTCACCCACCATGGGATTGCTCTAGCCCCTTTCTCGCTTAACTTCGGAGTTCCTACGGAACCCAAAGCGAGTGAGCTTCCAAAAGGCCTCGTGCTAGGTAGGGATGAGAATATACATATAAGGATCACTCCCCTGGGCGGTGTGGGATGTCACATGAACAATTTGGAAATGGAAAGAAATGGTAGAAAGATAAATTGGAAGAATTGTAAGAGAAAATTGAGTTTTGTATGGATGTTTGAACAAATACATAGGTATTTATAGAGTCTTTTGGTGAATTTTGAGTTAAATAATTTCTTTTTTATAATTAGGGTAAAGTACAAAAAAGTACCTCAACTATTAGTGTCACGACACTTTCATACCTTATCTTTTAAAATTGACAATGTCATACCTCATCTTTAGAATTTGTGTCAATGTTATACCTTCCGTTAGCTTGGCCGTTTATTTCTCAACTAAATGCTGACGTGGCTTGATCCGGGACCCATTTTTTATTAAAAAATTATTAAAAACAAAAAAAATCATTTAATATTATTAAAATATTAAAATAATTAAAAAAAAAGTACATAAAAAATAAAAAGTAAACCTCCCTTTCGTCCCTCCCTCCTCTCTCTCTCTTCCCCCATCTTCCTGCAACGCCAGCAAGGAGGAAGAAGAAGAAGAGAAAAAAAAAAAAAAAAACCTGAAACCAAACCTAGTTCGTCCGCCCACCACAAACCCAACCTCTTGCAACCCAGAAAGAAAGAGGAGGAAGAAGAAGAAGAAGGCAAAAAAAAAAAAAAAAAAAAAAAAAAAAAAAAAAAAACAACCCTAACCCAACCCGAAGGAGGAGGAAGAAGAAGAAGAAAGAAAAAAAAAAAAAATCGGGAAACTCGTCCTCCCTCCCCCACCCCCCCCCCCCCCCAAGGCCCCCCAAAACACATACCCACCTACCCTGCAAAAGAAAAACAAGAAGAAGAAGAAGAGAGAAGGAAAAAAAAAAAAAAAAAAAAAAAACCCAATTCGTCCGTCCCCCCTAAGAGGAAGAAGAAGAAGAAGAAGAAGAAGAAGAAAGAAGAAGAGGAAGAAGGAGGAACAAAAAAAAAAAAAAAGGGAAAACTCAATTTGTCCCCCCTCCCCCACATACCCACCCTACAAAAGAAAAACAAGAAGAAGAAGAGAGAAGAAAAAAAGAAAAAAAAAAAAAAAAAAAAAAAGAAAAAAAAACCCAGTTCGTCTGTCCCCCCGCACCTACCCTCTTTCCTCCACACCCATTCTCCCCCCCCCCCCCATTTTCCAGATTCCACCTCAACGGATCTGGGTTTTTTTTTTTGGATTGCAGGTAATGGGTGCGAGGTTGGGTGCAGAGGGTGGGTGTGGGAGTGGGTGCGGGGAGAAGAGGGGGTGGGGAGCAGGAAAACAAATTGGTTTTTTTTTTTTCTCTTCTTTTTTTCTAAGTTGCAGTTGCAGAAAAGGGAAGAAGATGAATATGGGGAGAAGAGAGAGAAGGGGGGAAAGGAACTGATGTTGTGATGTTGGTTTTTTTTATTTTTTTTATGTACTTTTTTTAATTATTTTAATATTTAAATAATATTAAATGATTTTTTTGTTTTTAATAATATTTTATTAATTTTTTAATTAAAAAAATGGGTCCCGGATCAAGCCACGTCAGCATTTAATTGAGAAATAAACGGCCAAGCTAACGGAAGGTATAACATTGACACAAATTCTAAAGATGAGGTATGACATTGTCAATTTTAAAAGATAAGGTATGAAAGTGTCGTAACACCAATAGTTGAGGTAGTTTTTTGTACTTTACCCTTATAATTATTTTAGCTATTGGATTTATATTTGGGGCGTTAGATCATTTTTTTTTTACCGTTAGATTTGATTATATTCGATCTCGGTCGCTGGATTCAATGTATTTTAAAATAACATTTAAAAAAAAATTTGAATCTGGACCGTTGGATCAACCAACGATCCAATAGTGCTAACCATCCGATGAACAAAAGAGCCGTTGGGCTCATAATTGCTTCCGACAGCGACCCTAACAGTGGGTCCCACCCTGTCGGGCGCTGAAGGCTAACGCCTGTGTGGGGCGAGTGACTGGGGTGAGTGTGGGCTGGGCTTGGGCGAGTCCACGCGTTTCTGGGCTAATTCTTAGGGGGAATTTGGCCTTGCTTTGGCATTTGGCTTTTAGCCTAATGATTTGGCTTGGATTGGGTTGGGTTTTTTTTTTTTGGGGGGGGGGGGCGGGAATAAATGGGCTAATTTGGCTTTTAGCCCAGGATTGGAGAGAGAGTCTTATAACCTAAAATTTTAGCCGGATATTATTAAATAATGAACTTAGGCTTTTTTTTTCTTAAATTAAATTTAAAAATAAATAAATATGTAGACTATCGTAAATTAATTTTATGAACATTTTAATTTAAAAATATTTAAATTCCGATAAATATTGAAAAATTCCTAAATTTTCCACAAAGCAAGCATTCAACTTTCACCAATCTTTCAACCATGGGCTAACTTTCAATTCACCAACCATTCAACACCAAATTTTCAATTCACCAACCATTCAACACCAAACTTTTAACTTTCACCAATCGTTCAACACCAAACTTTCAAGGTTCACCAACCGTTCAACTTTCATCAATCATCCT